TATTACCCGCAATCTGTGGTACGAGATCTTCCTCCCACTTCTGATGTTACCTCTAAACAATATCAGTCGTCGGCCATCGATCAACTCCGTCGCACGGATATTAACCACTGCAACTTCTGGTGTCGGTTGGATCTGGTGGATGCTTTCGGCTGTGCTCGAATTCATCCCACTCTGATGACAAAGATAGCGACCACTAGCGTCGACCCTATCACTGGCAAAGAGCACGTCTGGCAAATCTGCACCATACCCCAGGGATGTGCTGGTCAAGTATTCTCTTCCATACCTGTGTACATTGGCTTGTACACAACCCCATCAAAGAAGCTCTCGCAAAAGCCAACTGCCCGTGCTCTGTCCTATTCGTGCAAGATGATATCCTGCTAGGTTGTCCTACCAAAGCTGATTCTATGAAGGCTCTTTCTATCGTCACCAGTGTCCTACAAGACTATTGCTTTGCTGTTAACCCCCTGAAGACTGTCGGCCCGGCATCGGTAACTCCCTTTTGCGGTCTGGTCATCGAGTCAGGTGGACGCTATCGTCCGCATCCATCGCGGAGGGTACTCACTGAGGCATCCTTTGATCTCGCATGGGACGAGTTTATCAACGGAACCTTCAAGGCCAAGCGCAAGCGCGGAGCTCCTAAAGTTGCCGCAGCTGCCTCGAACCTCAAAATCTCGTCTCGGGTATCATGGCTCAAATCATGGTGTGGTACATTCAACTACTTCCTTGGTCACCTTACGAAGCAGCAGCTTGATGCTCTGCATGCTCTCACTGACGTGTCCAAGCGACTCCAAGATCCTGCTATCACCGACAAGGAGGTGGAAGCTCAGAGTACCCTTGTACACGCGGCTTTCAAGTCACTGTTCGACTACTATCTCAGTGGTATACCGGCTCTATATGCCGCTCGAGACGATCAAGCCATCGGCACCATTGTCCTTAGTGATGCCAACTGCCATGGGTGGTCTGCTATCATCTTGAGGGTTACAACCTACTGTCCGCTCAACAACGATAACTGCGAGGCCACTCAGTCGTCGCTACGTTGCAGGATCCCAAACCTTAAAGAGTTCTTCCCTGATGTCAACCT